CTGTTATAATTGTAATTTCATTCAAGTTCACGTCTCGATTTAACCCGTTCTTTACAGTATAAGTGCCTGCACGAGGCATTGAAGTCATAACAAACACATCTGTACGGTGTTAAATAAAGGGTGGATGTATCCCCCCCCTCCCCCCCATTTTATTTTTAATATATTACTTTAAGTCTTCCCAAAGTCAAAAACACAAACTTGAGAGTTCCTTTTAAATCAAACCTAATGAAAAACAAATATTTTGAGCTTCATCTAGCTTGGTATTTACTGCAGGATTTTAGTATTGTAAGGCATTTTTGTCCTTTTGTCCATCCTGTTTCATGTTTAGTTTGCTGGAATCATACTAATGCATAAACTAAGGGAAAGAGGGGGAACATATATCTATATGTTGTAGTAGTGTTAGAGGAGGACTTAAAGGTGGAAGTGTCCTTTAAATGAGCAGAGTATTGGGATGGACCACAAGGCACACTCTGGGGTTGGGCGGGAAACTAGTGAGATGTAAATATTGTTATTTATGCATATATGTTCTTGTTCACTCGGAAAAAAATAAACGTCTCCTTAAACTCGGTGTCGAGTGTGCGTTGTTCTGTAAAAATCACATTTGTGCAGAAAAAGTGATGCTACTCTTCAGTCTAGATGTTTCCGTTGGCCGGCGAGGCGAGCTCCTCTATCTTGGTGTTAAGTTTCTGATTGGTCCAGTCTTTTGTGATGTCATCCAGGTGGCTGTCAAAATCCACCAAAAGCGTTTGATCACCTGACTCCATCATCTGGCTCGCTATGGCCCGAGTCTCCTCCCACTGTCTCAGCATTATCCTGAACAGGACAGAGGAAAAAAGGAACAGGTGAGTGTGGTTTTCAGGCAAAATTCAGGCGCAAAATGTGCGCCAAACTGCATAAATGTGCAATTTGCTGGGATCTGGTCATTCATGCTCTTACGTGTGTTTGTCTTTGAGTATCCATCTTGAGTCTTTGCGCTCGTACAACACAATGGGAGGAACCCGATAGTCTGGAGACATCTTACTGCCATCGAGCTGTAAGAAGAAAAAAATCATCCTGAACTACTTTATTAAACAGACAGCACAGCTAAGCTTAACTTATTTCTGAAAGCCTGCTTACCAGCAATAAAAACTATGTCCAGGTTAAACCAGCAGGTAAGAGACAGCCGATAAAACAATTTTACTTGTTTTTCTTACCATTAATAAAACTGCATTGTCAAACTGCTCTGCAATCTTATCGGCGACCTTCAGCGCACACGGTGTCGGGCTGCCGAGTAGAAAACATAAAAACATGTTAAACAGAAACTCCTGAGACCACACACCTCCACCAAAGCCACAAAGTTACAAAAGGACGCCATATTTTTCTTGAGAATATCATTTTGATATGTATGAAGATCCAGTTTATTCATTCCAAAACTAACTTTACTGCTTGAAAACTGACAAAAGGTAGCCCCTTAATCTCTTTTCTGAACTGAGGTTTCTGTATGATTTCAGATTTTTTTTAAAATTGTAACTAAAATGTCTTTTTACATCTTGTTTTATTTTTTATTTAATAACCTTTTCCTGCTGGTTTTCCCATCTAGACAGATGTGCTGAGCTGTAAAGTGTTACTGCATGAGGTACGAAAGGCTAAATGTGCAGCTTTGCCACATCTCAAAACAAAAAACAGGGTTCAAATGAAAACCTCTTTAGTGACACGAAGCTCTGGAAACCCACTTGTTATCAGACACGCAGGCGTTGGCTTGGTAATATCCCACTATCCTCTGCTGAGTCTGTGAACACCAAACATCCACCTGGAAGGAGGAGAGCACCCACCGCCACTTTTAAACTTCATTTAATGCTGATGCAGGTTATAAATTCTTAATAACTTGGTAGGTTGGTCCAGAATATCTGACTGCAGGGTTTTATGCCTTCACAATAAACAATCACGAGGAGCCTTTAAGGTCTTTTTGCTTCTCCAGGATCAGAGCTCCAGACTGTGG